AAGACGTTTCAAATTAAGTTGTTTCCTTTTGGAGATGGGGAGAATCAAAATGACAAGGACAATTCAGTGGACATTTATGGAGCTAGGAGGAGTGGGGTATACTGTTTTAGGTGATCTAAGCTAGGAGTGAACTTATTAAAACATTCATATTGTTTAGTATTTAGATGGAACAAGATAGACTGGCGCATGAGAAATTTAAACACACATAGCGTGATGAATCGTCCTAATTCAGGTATACAAGACCTATCCTGAAGAGAATGATGGGCACAGTAGGTTAAAGTTTTATTTTTTAAGTTTAAATATTTTTATTGTTTATGCTATTATAGTTGTCCCAATTTTCCCCCTTTGCTCCCCTCCACCCGGCCCATCCCCGACTCCCACAGTCAGTCACCACACTGCTGTTCCTGCCCATGGGCCGTTAATATATTTTCTTTGACTAACCCTTCACCTTCTTTCAATTATTCCCTATCCCACCTGACTCCTCTCTTATAGCTGTCAGTCTGTCCCATGTTTCTGTGCCGCTGGTTCTGTTTTGCTCGTTAGTTTATTTTGTTGTTAGATTCTGCTTATAAGTGAGATCATGTGGTAGTTGTCCTGCACCAACTGGCTTATTTTACTTAGCATGATAGTCTTCAGTTCCATCCATGCTATCGCAAAAGGTAAGAATTCCTTCTTTTTCACTGCTGCTTAGTATTCTATTGTGTAAATGTACCAGTTTTGGGGTTTTTTCTTATACATTCATCTACTGATGGGCACTTAGGCTGTTTCCAAATCTTGGTATTGTAAATAGTGCTGCAGTGAACATAGGAGTGCATAGGGAATTCTTAGGGTATATTCCCAGCTATGGAATCGCTGGGTCAAAAGGCAGTTTCATTTTTAATTTTTTGAGGAAATTCCATACTATTTTCCAAAATCGCTGTACCAGTCTGCGTTCCCACCAGCATTGCACTAGAGTTCCCTTTCCAGCACTTGTTGTTTGTTGATTTATTGATGCTAGCCAGTCTGGCAGGTGTGAGGTGATATCTCATTGTGGTTTTAATTTGCATATCTCTGATGGCTGGTGATGTTGACCATTTTTTCATATGTCTATAGGATTTCTGTATGTGGGTTAAAGGTTTAAACGTAGAGGATATTGTCTTAATCCATTTGGGCGGTTATATCAAAATACTACACATAACTGGATGGCTTATAAACAGACATTTATTTCTCACAGTTTCAGAAGCTGGAAGTTCAAGATCAGGGTGCCAACATGATCAGTTAGGTTCCGGTGAAGGCCCTCTTCTGGATTGCAGACTGCTGATCCCTGCAGTGCGCTCACTTGGTGGAAGCTGGGGTGGGGAGCGACTCTTTCTTAGACCCACTAATCTCACTCTTGAGGGCTCTGCCCTAACGACTTAATCACCTCCCAAAAGCCACATTGGGCATTAGGTCTCAATGGGAATGGGGGCGGGGGGTCACAAATATTCATATTTTAGCAGATAAAATCACCTCTGCCTATACAAATAAAAAAAGATAGGAAAATGGAAAGAATTTTGTTGTCTAAGATCTTATAAGCAAAAACAAGGAGTAATGGCCATATACAGCGGTAGACCATGGTATACATAAATGTGTAAAATGGAAGAGCTGCTCTATGAGGCCAGATTTTTAAAACGTTCTGAGGCCTTATTCATAATCACTGTTCACATGGTGTTATCTGACATATATTTACTGAATACCTCATATTTACAATTCACTGTTTTAAAATTATATTTTATTAGTTATCCTCTTACAGCTGCCCTGATTTCTCCCCCTTTGCCCCCTCCACCCAGCACCCCCCACCCTCCATCACCATTCATGTCCATGTGTCATGCATGTAAGTTCTTTGGCTCCTCCATTTCCAATACTGTACTTTACATTCCCATGACTATTCTGTAACTACCTATTTGTACTTTATAGTCCCCTCACCTTTTCACCCATTCTGCCCCTCCTCCTCCCATCTAGAAACCATCAAAACATTCTCAGTATCCATGATTCTCTCTTCTTCTTGTTGGCTCAGTTTGTTTTTTAGATTCAGTTGTAGATAGAATTGTATTTTTTGCCATTTTATTGTTCATAGTTTTGATCTTTTTCTTAAATAAGTCACTTTAATGTGTCATATGACAGTGATTTCATAATGATAAACTTCTTTAGTTTTTTCTTCTCTGGGAAGCTCTTTTCCTACCCTTCGATTCTAAATGATAGCTTTGCTGGGTAGAGCAGTCTTGGCTTTAGTTCCCTGCTTTTCATGACTTTAAATACTTCTTGCCAGTTCCTTCTAGCCTGAAAACTTTCTTTTGAGAAATCAGCTGACAGTCTTATGGGAACTCCCCTCTAGGTAACTAACTGCTTTTCTCTTGCTGCTTTAAAGATTCCCTCTTTCTCTTTAACTCTTGGCATTTTAATTATGATGTGTCTTGGAGTTTGCCTCTTTGCATTCATCTTGTTTGGGGCTCTCTGTGCTTCCTGGACTTGGATGTCTATTTTCTTCACCAAATTAGGGAAGTTTTCTTTCACTATTTTATCAAATAGATTTCCAGTTTCTTGCTCTTTGTCTTCTCCTTCTGGTACCCCTGTGATGCAAATGTTGATACATTTGAAGTTGTCCAGAGGCTGCTTATACTATCCTCATTTTGGAGGAATTCTTTTTTCTTCTTGTTGTTCTGATTGGTTGTTGTTTTTTTTTGCTTCCTTATGTTCCAAATCATTGATTTGATCCTCGGTTTCATTCACTCTCCTGTTTCCTTGTAAATTGTTCTTTATTTCAATTAGTGTATCCTTCGTTTCTGACTGGATCTTTTTTATCCTGTTAAGGTCCTCACTAAGTTCCTTGAGCATCCTTATAACCAGCATTTTGAACTCTGCATCTGATAGATTGCTTGCCTCCATTTCGTTTATTTCTTTTTCTGGAGTTCTGATCTGTCCTTTCATTTGGGCCATGTTTCTTTGTCTCCTTGTTTTGGCAGCCTCCCTGTGTTTGTTTCTATGTATTTGGTAGAGCAGCTTTGACTCCTTATCTTGGTAGTGTGGCCGAATGTAGTAGGTGTCCTGTAGGGTCCAGTGGCACAGCCTCCCCTGTCACCCAAGCTGGGTAGTCCAGGTGCGCCCTTTGTGTGGGCTGAGTACACCCTCCTCTTGTAGTTGAGCCTTGGTTGTTGTTGGCAGATCAATGGGAGGGATTTACCTAGGCCTCCCAAGGATTGCTGCAAGGATTGGCTGTGACCACTGACCACACACCTCCACCCCCCATGGAGGATCAGCTGTGCAGGGGCAGGGTGGTGGGGCTCTGACCTAGTCTGTAGCTGTCCACTGGGTGTGCTGGCCCTGGAGTTTCCTGGGTGGTGCGGACCAAGATCAACCCCTGCCTGTGTTTTGCCCAGGGAACTCTGCCTGGGCTATAAAACAATCAAAGATGGCTGCTACTTATGCTGGACTTGGAGATTCCCAAGCAGTGAATCCTGGCTGGCTGCTACTAGTGGCAGGCCTGGGCTCACTGAGGCCAGCTGTTGCTTTTTGGAGAGGATTTAGGAAGCTGTGAAGCTTCAGCCAAGACCAGCCATTCATATGGTAAAGCAGCTTGGGTGGGCCAGTAAGTTGAGTGGGGCAGAGTCTCTGGGGATCTCCAAGGCAGGTCAAACAGTGTTAGCCAGGTTGATGGAGTCTCAGATATGGCACCAGCTTGATGGCTCTGTGGGAGGAGGTTTTTAAAAGAAGGACAGTGGCCTCTGCTTGCCTTGATGCTGGACACTTCAGTTCTTCCCTGTATACTACTGATGCTGTTCAAGTGGCTATCCTGGTGCTGGAGCTAGAAGGAATGAGTCTTAGTAGGTGCATCTGTGTGTGGTTTCTTGGAGAGAAACTGCTTGGGGCTCTAGAAGTTTCTTCCATCGAGTCCATCCCCACTGGTTTTCGCAGCTAGAAGTTGTGGGGACTTATCTTCCTGGCCCTGGGACCCTGGTCTGAGGGACTTGGTGTGGCACGTGGACTTCTGGCTCCCATGATATCCCTCCCAGATTTTTATCCACCATACATGAGGGTGGGAACGGCCTGTTCTGCATGTACACCCTTCCTTAGGTGTCAGGCTTCCATTTAACTCCATTTTGTAGTTGTCAGACTTCTTTTCAGATTGACTTCTGACGGTTCTGAATGATGATTGTTCTGTATTTTAGTTGTGATTTTGATGTGGCGTGCAAAGCATCGAGCCATGTCTGCCAATGCCATCATCTTGACCAGAGGTCCTACAATACACTTCAAGGAGGACATTCATTCACAAGTTGCCCCTTAGTTAAGAAAGTCTAGATTTTAGCTTCTTATAGCTATGAATTTCAAATCTGGAGGAAAACAGCCTTTTTTTTTTTCTTTTTTCTTTCATAATTACTTCTCTGTACCCAAATTCTGTCTGTTTTACTCCTGCAAATAGAAAACTGGAAGCTGTGGAGCCTCCCTGTGAAAAGAGAGCTAGGCTGTACCTTCTGTGACCTCACTCCTTCAGTCTGATTTGTCCTTGGGACAGCAGTTGCAAACAGCTCCATATGTGGCTTTGGCAGTAAGCACAGGAAATGCAAATGAAACCAGCTAATGCAACAGAGTCTGTTAGCCTGGCCTTGGAGCTCAGCAAGCCATCTTTTGAACCTATTATGATAGTGCACTTCTGGGCGTCCTTGGGAAAGAATAGTTTACACTCTGATCAAGTAATGGATCAGGGGCCATTCTTGGTCTTATATAGCAGTGGAAATGCCTTTGACACTCTGGTATTAAATAACTGCTTATTTGAACATTGTACAATGACATAGCCTTTCCCACCCTTTATTAGTTTCCTTTGAAGCTATTGTGCTCAGTTTAGTTCTTCAGTAGGGACTTTGAAAGGAAATGGAAACCTCACAAATTGTACTTTTTTTATATCTACTACTCATTGCCGATGCAGCTCTCTCATATTTTGGTTTTTGTGTTTCCCATTCTGCACCCCATTTCCCCTCTGCTTTCAGGTGAAGGTCTCCCACAGGTGTATTACTTTGGACCATGTGGGAAATACAATGCCATGGTGCTGGAGCTCCTTGGCCCTAGCTTGGAGGATTTGTTTGACCTCTGTGACCGAACTTTTACTTTGAAGACTGTGTTAATGATAGCCATCCAGTTGGTAAGTTGACATCACTGTTCTGCAAAAGGGTAGTCAGGTCCCTGTCCCCCACCCCCACACATGCTTCTGTTCCTTTTGGTGACTTAGGTGATTTGGTGATTAAAGTGTAGTGACACTTAGTAGGTGCAAACTCACAGGCTTGATGGCATTCTAAGAAGCTGGCTGCGACAAAAAGGGCTAACCCAGAGAAGTCACATTGCATCTGCTCTTTACTCTGTTTCGAGAATTTGTACCTCAGAACAATACCCTGCCCTTATCTAAAGTGGAAGTATATCATTTAGGTTAAGGAGAAAAAGGATGACTAAGTGAAGTTGTACAAATGCAAAAAAATTCCTAGATGTTTTATTTATAGGTTTGAAACACATGACTGTAAGGTGTTGTCATGTCCTCCCTCTCCACTTACTGTGACATCCAAGAAGAGACTGAAGATAGAACCGCTGCCCTACAATCAGGTTCAGAAATAGTGTGACCAAGAACCCAATTCTTCTTGCCTTCAGTTCGCACAGAGATTGACACAGCTGGAGGAGGCAGCTGTCTCAGCTCCTTCCAAGTTACACACTGTTACCAGTTTACGGATCAGTTAAGACAGTTTCTTTGAGAAGTTTGCCAGCCCCTCAGGGATGGTGCAGATGCGCATTTATTGGTCTGAGATAGTGATGGTTTCCTCCACTTTACAGCAAAAATTTGGAAATGTTGAAAAATTGACTTTATTTTTTTGAGTCCAAGTTCACATGTCTGTGCTTCCTTTTCTAAGTAGAAAAGCTTTGTAGATAGAAGTGAACTTAATGAAATTTAAAATAATTTTATGATTATTATTTTGAGCTATTTTTACTTTCACATATAAACTGTTACCTTTACCTTTGCTACTAACTAGTTCTGTTATATTGGTCCAGTATTAACTTCTCCGGGCCTTACTTCCCTTATTTCTGCTACTAAGAGAGTTGGGTTGGATAGTTCTGTTCAACCGAGAGGAAGGTGTGGGTAGGAGGCGAATGTGACGGTGGCCCCGTCTTCAACCGCTGCCAACCTATTTTGATGTCCTGTTTGGGACATCAAAATACTTCTTGCCTCTCAAATGCTTACTTTCTGAAATAGCATAAAAACACCTAATTCTGTTTATCACTTGCAGATTGTAACATTATGAGGTTTAGCTGAACTGTACAATCCCATCTTTTATCTTGATGTTTGTTATGTGGATATTAGTATCAGAAAATATTTTCTGGTATACAAGAGTGAAATGGCTCCGGGTGGTGAAAAAGAAATGAGCTTTATTTTCATTTTAATAATTAAAACCTTGGGCTGAGAAAAGAAATGTTTTGCTGTACTTTTCAGTAAACTTCTTTAGATTATTTCTATTATTGTTTCTTTTCTCTTTTAGCTTTCTCGAATGGAATATGTGCACTCAAAAAATCTCATTTACCGAGATGTTAAGCCAGAGAACTTCCTGATTGGCCGACAAGGCAATAAGAAAGAGCATGTTATACACATTATAGACTTTGGACTGGCCAAGGAATACATTGACCCTGAAACCAAAAAACATATACCCTATAGGGAACACAAAAGTTTAACTGGAACTGCAAGATATATGTCTATCAACACGCATCTTGGCAAAGGTGTGTTTATTTACTACTCCATGAAAAGGGCAGGTTTTTAAGACAACTTTTTCTTCCAGTAACACTTTTGTCCCCATTGTGCATTACAAGTTGTGGTTCTCATTGCTTCACAAGGTAAGTGATTTTTATACTTGAGAACTTAAAATGGTAAGTTAGTGACTTTCCTGAGTATCCTGTTGACAGCCTAAGGATTTTAATTTTTCATAAGTTGACCCTTGAACAACATGGGTTTAACTTCACAGATCCGCTTATGCGGGGTTTTCCTTTTCTTTTTTTTAAACATTTTATTTATTTTTTAGACAGAGGGGAAGGGAGAGAGAAAGGGAGAGAAACATCAGTGTGTGGTTGCCTCTCCCATGCCCCCGCACTGGGGATATAGTCCGCAACCCAGGCATGTGCCCTGACTGGGAACTGAGTCAGCGACCCTTTGGTTTGCAGGCCGACACTCAATCCACTGAGCCACACCGGCCAGGGTGGGGTTTTCTTTTTTGATAAATACTTTGTAAATGTACTTACTTTATGATTTTTTTAAGATTTTATTTATTTTTAGACTGAGTGGAAGAGAGGGAGAGAAACATCAACATGTGGTTGCCTCTCACATGCCCCCAACTGGGTATCTGGCCCACAACCCAGGCATGTGCCCTGACTGGGAAGCAAACCAGCAACCCTTCGGTTCATAGGCTTGTGCTCAATCCACTGAGCCATACCAGCCAGGGCTCTTTATGATTTTTCTTAACATTTTCTTTTCTGTAGCTTACTTTACTGTAAGAATACTGTATATAATACATATAACTTATAAATACATATTAATTGACTATTTATGTTATCAGTAAAGCTTCCAGTCAGCAGTAGGCTATTAGTAATTAAGTTTTGGAGGAGTCAAAAGTTACTTGTAGATTTTTGACTGCAGGCAGTGGACACCCATTACCCCCATGTTGTTCAGGGATCAACTGTACTGTTTGCAAATGCTTAGTTTCTTAGCAGTGTGGGTAATTGAATTACTGTATTAAGATCACATTTGAGTGAGTTTAGTGATGAGTTTGGTACAAGGGACCTTATATATGACATCAGGCTGGCATCTTCTTTGGGGTAGAATACATCGCTAAAAACATGGACTAGGCTTCTGTTCACTGTACATAATTCCATGAATAATTCTTTAAGGAAGAGCCTATGTCTTCTTATTCAGTGAAAATATATTTGCTTTTCCATGAGCCTTGCATTGTATTCAGAATAGACAGTTTGCACTAGTATTGCAAAAAGCTCTAACTGGGGCAAAAATCCTTCTGAGAGGAACTAGTCCAGGGAAGAGTATTTGTGAGAAGAGCTTAAAGAACAGTGGGAGGCCAGGTAGGCAGGCTCTGGGCCTCTCACCAGCTTCTCCAGAAATCTTCCCTTTTTATCTGATTTGTATATTAGTCTTTCATGGAAAATTCTGTTTGGAGACAAGGTTCCAAGGTAACTGAAAAATATATAAAAATGACCATCCTAGAGAGTGGACATATAAACAGAGTATTATTAGGTTCCACAATCTTAGATGGAGCTAATTATATCAGGTGTTTAAATATTAATGAAAGGTTGCCCCGGCTGGTTGGCTGAGTTGGTTGGAGTGTCATGCAGTACACCAAAATGTTGCAGGTTCGATTCACACTGTGGCCTCATACCTAAGTTGCAGGTTCCATCTCGGTCAGGGCACATATAGGAGGTAACTGGTATTGTTTCACATCAATGTTTCTCTCTCCAAAATCAAGCATTCTTTTTTTTTTTTTACTCTTTACCCAAGGATATGTTTATTGATTTTAGAGAGAAAGGAAGAGGGAAAGAGAGAGAGAGAGAGAGAGAGAGAGAGAGAGAGAGAGAGAGAGAGACATTAATCAGTTGCCTCCCTTAAGCACCCCGACCAGAGATCGAACCTGCAGCCTTTTGGTGTATGGGACAACACTCCGACTGACTGAACCACCAGGCCAGGGCTCTCTAAAATCAGTGACATGTCCTCGGATGAGAATTAAAAAAAACATATATTAATGAACTGTTGTACCCTAATAAGTATTTTTAAAGACTAAGATAAATAGCTACAAAGTTGTCTCATTGAGTAAACTGCACAGATATTCAGATAGTGAGTTAGTATAAGCAAAGAGTAAAAATAACATTTGCAAAGTAGTATGATACAATTTGAGCTGAAATCATAAATGCTGTCAGAATTTTTTCAGTAACCACATGGAAATCCTCACTTAACTAAATGTAGTATCGATACTTTAAAATTAGACTAGAAGGTCCTCTTCTACTTAATGTCAGTGTCACCTTGGATAAATTACTTAATCTTTCTGAAACTTACCTGTAAAATAAAGAATGATATTTCACAAGGATGTTTTGAGGATTGAATGGGTAATATTTGTAACACAGGTCTTTTGCATGGTGCTCAATATTCCCTTCTTCCTTTTTACAAGGAGACAAATTGTGTTGTAAGTAGTAAAGTCATAATTGCTTGGTTTAACTGACACTCTAGAAATTGTTGTTCCAATGTCTGCTTCCCGGTCTCAGCAGTTTGTGTTCTGGTTTTCTTCTTGTCAAGAAAGGCAACAATAGGTAAGGGGCGGGTGGGTATGTGTTATGTTTGTATAAGGTCTAGTGTAATGGTTAAGAAAAAGGGATATGAATCTTGACTCTTCCACTTAAAGCTATGTAATTTTGGTCAAATAACCTTCCTCCCTCAACCTCAGTTATTTCATCTATGAAATGGATATGACAATAGTACATTATAGCGTTCTGTGAAATAATGCATATAAAGTGTTTAGCGTAGTACCTAATAGTAGTGAAGACTCTATAATGGTAATAATCACTTACTAATTCAACAAAATGTTTTAAGCATCTACTTTGGTCAGGCTGGGTTCCTTCATCTCTTGTTGTAGCCATTTCTACCGGAACTTGGAGTTTATCTCCAAACTTAGACTTCCTAGTTCCAGAGTTTTTCAAGTCAGAGCCAACTTGTTACCACATTTTGTCCTTTCAGTGTTACAGAGAATGCATATAGGTGGTTGCCAAATGCCCTTTAAACTCTGGCCAGCGTCTCATTTCCATAGGAACTATAATCCTGTTGGTTTTTTAAATGTGTAGCATCCTTTATGTTGTAATGAAGAAAAAGAGAAGTGTATCTTCAAATGATTTGGAGAAATTTGTCTGTTACTTTCTTAATAAGGGAAGATGCCTCCTGAACCTGACATTACCACATGAAGATTAGCCACCTTCCCCACTGATTAAGCCCTGATTAAGGCAGCCAGCCCATTAAATACTCTTTAATAGCTAACATTAGGGTGAGAATAGTTGGTCAGCCAGCCCCTTTCCTACAATGTATGTTATATTTGACCTAAAAGTAGGCATGTGATGGATGTAAACCAGGTACATCTTTCTGATTAGTTGAAAGCAAGCCTTTATGGTGTGGAAGAATTCTCTGTCCTACTGGTCTCATTGGTATTGAAACCTTTTGTCTTTAAAAATGGAAATAATCTTCTTAAATTTTTTTATTCAAATAAAAAAATGAAAATATCTTGCATGAATAAACAAGGGTGTGTGCAAATACTGACTTGAACATATGTAGAATGTTCAAAGAAATATGAAAATACAACATGGCTCTGGTGTTCACTGCTTTTTTTTTTTCTTGAAAGTTCCTAATGGCTTAAATTATCATAGATTATTTTAGAGCTGGAAAGTGACTTTTCAGGTTATTAACCAGTTTATTTTCAATGAGGAAATTTAGGCCCAATGTAGATGTTGGAAGTCCAAGGGTTCTATGAGGGGGTAGCGGAAGGATGTGTCTGGGCTGCTTGTTGGGACACGGGTCGAGCACCAGGTTCTTTCTATTCACGCACTGTTGAAGCAGGAAACCACGGCAGCTCTCGGCAAAGACTTTTATTATTTTTAATAGATTATTTTTCATTGTATTTTTTCCCATTACCATTTATCCCCCTTATACCTTCTTTAACTTTCCCCCCCTTCCCCGCCCAACAATCACCGCACTGTTGTCCATGTCCATGAGTCCTTTTTCTTTTTTACTCCATCCCTCCACCTCCCACCCAGAGCTGTCAGGCTGCTCTTTGTCTATGAGTCTGTCTCTATTTTGCTAGTTAGTTCCTTTTTCTCATTAGATTCCACATATGAGTGAAATCATATGATATTTGTCTTTCTCTGACTGGCTTATTTCACTTAGCATAATGTTCTCCAGGTCCATCCTAGTTGTCGCAAAGGGTAAAATTTTCTTTTTTATGGCAAAGTAGTATCCCATTGTGTAAATGTACCATAGTTGTTTTATCGACCCATCTACAGTGGATACATGGGCTGTTTCCGTATCTTAGTATTGTAAATAACGCTTCAGTGAACATGGGGTGCTTATATGCTTTTGAATTAGTGTTTCAGGTTTCTTCGGATAAATTCCCAGAAGTGGGATCGCTGGGTCATAAGGTAGTTTCATTTGAAATTTTTTTAAGGTAACTCCATACTCCTTTCCACAGTGGCTGCACCAATCTACATTCCCACCAACAATGAAAAGGGTTCCCCTTTCTCCACATCCTTGCCAGCACTTCTTGTCTGTTGACTTATTAATGATAGCTGTTCTGACCCATGTAAGATGATCTCTCATTGTAGTTTTAATTGCATTTCTCTGATGATTACTGACATTGTGCATCTTTTCATATGTCTATTGACCATCTGTATGTCCTCTTTGGAGAAGTGTCGATTCAGGTCCTTTCCCCATTTTTTAATTGAATTGTTTGTTTTTTGGTGTTGTTTTATAAGTTCTTTATAAATTGTGGATATGAACCCCTTGTCAGATGTATCAGTGAATATATTCTCTCATTCAGTGGGTTGTCTTTTTATTTTGTTGATGGTTTTCTTTGCAGTGCAAAAACTTTTTTGGTTTGATGTAGTCCCACTTTTTTTTTGTTTTGTTTCACTTGCCTGAGGAAATATATCAGAAAAAAATACTGCTACAAGCAGTGTCTGAAATTTTACTACCTATGTTTTCTTCTAGGATTTTTATGGTTTTAAGTCTTCAATCCATTTTGAATTTATTCTTGTGTGTAGCATAAGGAGGTGCTCTAGTTTCGTTTTTCTGCATGTACCTGTCCAATTTTCTCAACACCATTTATTGAATAAACTATCTTTAGCCCACTGTATGTGCTTGTTTCCTCTGTCAAATATTAATTGACTACAATTAATTGACTGCAAAGGCATGTTTTATTTCTAGGCCCTTTTTTCTGTTCCATTGATCTATGTGTCTGTTTTTATGCCAGTACTCAGTTGTTTTGATTATTATGGCCTATAGTGTAGTTTGATATTAAGTAGCATAATTCCTCCAACTTTGTTCTTCTCTGTCAAGATCACTGGTGCCATTTGGGACCTTTTTGGGTTCCGTATAAATTTTTGAAATATTTGTTCTAGTTCTGTGAACTATGTCATTGGTATGTTGATAGGAATTGTGTTGAATCTATAGCTTGCTTTGGGTAGTATTGACATTTTAATGATGTTAATTCTTCCTATTCATGAACACAGTATGTGCCTCCACTTATTTGTAGCTTGTTCAGTTTCTTTCTTCAGTGTCTTATAATTTTCTGAGTACAGGCCTTTAACATCCTTTGTTAAATTTATTCCTAGGTTTATTCTTTTTGAAGCAATTGTGAATAGGATTGTTTTCTTAATTCCCCTTCCTGATAGTTCATTATAGGCATATAAAAATGCAACTGATTTCTGGATATTCATTTTGTATCCTGCTACTTTGCTGAATTCATTGATCAGTTCTAATAGTTTCTTTAAAATCTCATTTTATAATGACTAGTCTTTTCTGTGAAGGGAAAGAAGTTGCCGTTTTTTCCTGTAGGGCTGATCAATATTGAAAATGTGGAGAGTTTCGCCCTCTAGTGTTCAACTGACTAAAGTGCAGCCATTTGTCGAGAGAATTTTTTACCAAGGGGCCTCTTGTTACAAGGCATAAAAATGGAGAGCTGATGGGTAGGTGTGATGTAGCATGAGAAACTGCAGGGGGTGGTTTCTGTATTGACTCTGTTTCCTGGGAGATCTCAATTCACCTTGCTTTTTTAATTTGAGTTCTGTTACCGAACTCTGCTTTTGTCTAATGGCTTTTTGTTTTCAATTACATATAAAATTTATGGCAAACTTTAAGCCAGCCAAGTAGACAAAAGCTCCTGGTCTTGCTGTTTCATTTTATCCTTTTAAAGATCATCTCAATTGATGTACATCAACTCAATTTTATGTTACTTATATATCTTATCAGGGTGCCTTTCCAAAAACCTTCAAACAGCAAAATTGAAAGTTGCCTTTTCTTTGTTTCTAATCCTGTAGAGTACTATTCACTCTTTTTCATGCAAATTGCTCATGCTCGGTGGCCACAGATAAACTCGTGCTTTGGTATTTTGAGTTAAGCTAAGTAGCTATCCCTGCCTCCCTGCCTCTCTTGGGTTGTACTTTCTGCATAATGAAAGCACAGTCAAATTTAAGGTAGCCCCTTGTTTCTGTATTTTTATTTTTTACAAAGCCCTAAACTTGATTCTGAAAAATAAACACATGAAATGTCTGAGATGAACCATAATTGGCAAATTAGAAATGGAGGCGTGTACTACTTAAATTCAGTCTGACGACCAACGGTGGTATAGGATGTTTTCTGAGATGAAGTTATAATTCTGCAGTTCTTTATAATTTAATCATTGCAATGAAAAGAAAGAAAAAGCCAGCAACTTGTCTTACAATAAGCTCCCAGAATGCAGGGTTCCTGTTTTATATGCCCATTAAGGGCACCTTAGTAATAAATTTTAAATTTTTCTTAAGGTGGCTGTGGAACATGGTGCAAATGGAATGGAGCTGAGAGATTATACACTGATGTTCGATTATATCAAATTAAATTTTGATATTAGTTTTCTATTAATTTTTATGATCAATAGAAAGCACTAGCCATGTATGCCAGGCACTCTGCAGCTATGTCTTTGTAGGCCAAGCCAGAGTGGACAGTTTTAACAGCTTCAGCTGCTAGTCTGCTGCTCACTTTCTCTGATGGTAACCAAGGGTAATTGTAGCCCATATACTGAAGATAACATTTTATTTACATTATCTTACTTTCAGGAAGGTGACAGCATTGAATGAGGGTTACTCACTGTTCAGTGGTTTGGACTTGGTTTTAGCTTAGTATTTGCTCTTTTCACTGGATATTTACTTGCCAGTGACAGGTCTAGACAAAGGAGGTACTTTTTTTTTTTTTTTTTTTTTTGGTCTTGATTTAAAATACTATCCCTGGTTTAGATATACAAAGAATTAGTAAGCAGAGCCTTTCCAGAACAGAAGGGTTTCTGAACGGACCACTTCGTTTTGAGCCCCTTTCTACTTTTATAACTGCAAATGTAATGTGTGATCTGTCTTCCCTTTTAGAGCAAAGCCGGCGGGATGATTTGGAAGCCCTAGGCCATATGTTCATGTATTTCCTTCGAGGCAGCCTGCCCTGGCAAGGACTCAAGGTATCCTTGAAAGTGCTCAGTGGAGGTCTTTGTTTCAATACTCAGTTGTTAATGAAGGGGTTGCTGACTTGATGTCTGCAAGAAGTACAAAGGGGAAGAAGATTGGCTACAGACATGAAAAGCAGGGACTGGTTACATTAGTCTATATAGTAAATACTCACCTGAGGTTTGAAGCTCTCTTTTGCTCGTATTTGTCTATTTCCACTTCTGAATCCTTATTCCTTGTTTTTGGATTTTCCGTAATCTCTTCCCACATTCCCTCCCAGCCTTGGCAGTTCTGCTTTTCTCTCTGTCATTATGCCTCCTCCACTACTATTATGTAGCAAGATCAGTGTTCCCAGTGTGTTGGGGAATTTCTGGGACAAATTGATGACAGCAGCTCCTACACATTTTACCAGCAAGGCCAGCAGGTCTGGGTGTGTTCCTAGAGGGAACTGGAAAGTATTTGTTCATTGTATATACGCTGAGTGCTCACCTGAACTAAAACAAAAATGCAGGCTTAACATTGCTCTTCAAGTCTTTTATTGAATAAAGGTCTATACAGACAATAGCCATTCCTTGTGAAATATGTAGCTTATTGCCTTCCTTTGGTAGGTGTCAGTACAGTACATATATGTCAAAGTTAATAATTAATTATAAATATAACAATTGTAATTACTCTGTGTCTCTGGTTGTAGACTAGAAAATGGTAGGCTTCTAACCCATGCTAAGTCCCATTTGATAATTCAATGTGAGACATGTTTTTGAGTTGATTTATATCAACATGTTAGTATGAAAAGAAACTTAATTATTCGCTTAGAATACTCCTATCCCCCCTACCCCTGCTTACACCCTCTACCCCTGCAAAAGGGCAGAATGGTTGATTTTGCTGTGCTCTCTAGAACATGGGCTTGAAAAGTAAGGCTTCTACCCCTTCCTTTTGGGAAGATTTTCTTTCTTTCCCCTTAACTTCCTCTCTTAACATCTTCTCCATAGTCTTCTCCTAGTCATACATATATCTTCTCATTGAAACTGACAGTTGTCAAACATTTTCACATCCCATTTGCTCATTATATAAACAAACAATGCATTCATGGATGTATTATTTGAAACTTTCTCATGGTCCATGAATCATTTTAATGATAGGTATAGATCTAAAATTTCTCCAACTTACTTTAGGTTGTTATTACTTAAAGCCAGGTGCAGCAGGCTAAATCGAGAGCCTCAAGAGACTCCCTTGCGACCACATTGCTGGTCCAAGCCCCAGAAGCTCTGTTTATAGCTCTGAGCAAACCACACTTGGCTGCTTTGAGCCACTGACATCTGTCAAACCTATTTGTTAGCAATACCTGTATCATAGATAACATTTTTCCTTCTGGAACCACATTGTGGAATGGCATTGTTTTCTACTTTTTGTTCTTTTTTTCTATTCAACTTCACAATAAATATGATGTAAAGCTATCTATCTCTCTGCTCCCACTTGGATTAGCAATGTTTTTCAGTCTTATCATAGAGCCGATCTAATGAGGGAAAGGCTGAATCACTTTTGAACCCCAGTGGCCATGGGAGATTACTAAGCTTCTACAATTTTGATAATCTTGCTACACGATGTTTTTATTTTCTTATCCTAGCTTTTCTCATTAAATTTGATGGTGTTTATCTGAGACTACTAAATACATTGTTAAGTAAATGTTCCAGAACAGAGTAGATGTTTCATATATATCTGAATACCTCATCTCTATTACATTTCTTATTTGTTAGTGCTAGAGAGCAAAACAATTGAGACTATCTAAAAAATCCTGCCAGTTTGAGTGGAACAACTATTGTGTTCCCAAACACACTGGACCTCCCATACTTAGCACTTGTTTCCAAATAACTTTCTCTTTTTACTCTCTACAGGCTGATACACTAAAAGAGAGATATCAAAAAATTGGTGACACCAAAAGGAATACTCCCATTGAAGCTCTCTGTGAAAACTTTCCAGGTAAGATGCTTAAAGGACATACTAGCAATTGTGACTAAAGCTTTGAAGTAGGTGAAGACGTGGCTTGGAATCTCTAGATAAAGGCACTCTCCAGAAAATTTAAATTTTCTTTTATTATTATTTAAACCAAGATAAGTGTTGTCGCTTTCATTTGGTCCCTAAAAAACACCTGTGTCACATAGCCTGTACAATATTCCTTGCTTGGCCCAGAGCTTCTACCCATGGGAAGCAGTCAGTTAATGAGCATGGCCTTTCACCTCTTTCCTAACAGAGGAGATGGCAACCTACCTGCGATATGTCAGGCGATTAGACTTCTTTGAAAAACCTGACTATGAATATTTACGAACACTCTTCACAGACCTCTTTGAAAGGAAAGGCTACACCTTTGACTACGCCTACGATTGGGTTGGGAGGCCTATTGTGAGTATCCTTTTTCCACCTCCTCACCTTAGACCAGCACTGCCTCACCCCTTTACTTGCGAGACTTTCTGCTTAAATCTTTGAGAAGGGAAAAAACATTCCTTTGACTGTAGACTTTACATTTACCAATCTCTTCAGAGTGATGCCATAGGTTGCTCTTACTAGAATTCGGAAGTAGAAGTAACTACCTTTATATGTTTTTAAGATTATGACCAGTATGTCCTAAGATACCAGAATTTAAGCCAGTTTTTAAGAGTTTTTATTTGAATGATCCAGAAGCCAGTGCTAAATAAGCTGTTAAGGTGCTTGACTTCTATAGGAGTATAACCCAGCACTGTAGGACACTTTTGAATTGGCTCTTCTAGCCAGGGATCACAGGGCCGGAGAGCATGCTAACAGACATCACTGTAGAATTTTTTCTTTTTATTTTCAAAGGCAAGCTACTGTCTAATGGACTATTGAGGACCAACCTGTATCCCTTTTTCAGATAAACAAACTGAGAAGACAAGAAGACATGAAACTGCCCTTGGTGGCTGAAAATAATAATTACTACTATTCTATTAGAATTTGAATGGTGCTGTCTTTTGCAGAGGCATTAAGTTGGACCTGTTTTCCGCATTTGACTTTTTGTTATATTTTTCCAGCCTACTCCAGTAGGGTCAGTTCATGTAGATTCTGGTGCATCTGCAATAACTCGAGAAAGCCACACACACAGGGATCGGCCATCACAACAGCCTTTACGAAATCAGGTATGTGTTGGACCTTCATTGTTTCAGACATTCCCTTTATTTGTGGCTAATGTAAACACTGAAATTCTTCAGCTTCTCTGCTTAAGTATATATATTGAAATTAAAGACACAGGCCATGCCAGTTTTCACTGGTGTAGGGTAGCATTCTAGCATCCCTCAGGGTTTGTTTAATGGTACTGAAACATAGCCAGGTGCCTTACGTGAAGAATCTACTCTAGAGAACCTGGGCCTGTCAGAAACTGTTGGCTGAAAGGACCTGCTGAATATACAGGACATATAGGCTAACCCACTTTGGGTCTCATCCTCACTCCAGTGTACAGCTCTTGCCAACGCTGGCTTTTCCTTGCTGTTTAGAAGGATGGGTAATTTGGACTCCCAGCTGACCTGGGAATGAACTGGTAGCTCCACTCTACTGCTGTCCCTGTACCCAGGTTAACTTTAGACTTATGAAGGACGACCCAGCTCTGCTTTAGGCAACTCTAGAGAAGGCTATGACATCTCCATTTCAGTGTTCATCCCTAGGGAAACTAGTGATCTGGATGAGAGGCCTCTCTCAGCGTAAAGACAGAGGAGGCAAACACACAAAAATCTACAAACTTGACAACATTTAAGGAAAGGAGAAACTAATTAGGAAATGAATATGATGATTATCTCTGTATTATTTTGCTAAAAGAAAAATGAAGACCTCAGTAGATAAATAAGCAAAGAATAATAAATAAACAAACGTGTGCTTGCACATATACACACACATAATCACTATTACCTATCAAATCAGTGTGTTTCTCCTCGCTCCTGACCTCACTTTTTGGATTCACAAACATTTTTACAATGCAACAACACTCCTCTCCCAGATGCACATGTGAAAGTACATAGATTAAAAATAGGGTATAGAAATACATACACACATGTATGTACAGTGAAGTACATGCAAAATATAAATAGACTCACCAATAAGTCCATATGCTTGGCAAAATTTTTGACTTGGTGGTTAAGAAGAAGAAATGTATGTAAAGGAAGGAAATCTATGTATTAGAGAGTAGTTAGGCAAAAAGATGGGATTTAGCAAACTATGTACCCTAATTGGATTTATAGTTACATACTTTGACCAAAGTAGTTGGTTAAGAATTGTAGTTGGACAACAGAATACTGTCAACTTCAGCAGCTGTTCTCTCTTCTACCCCCTTTTTGAAAGCATTGTTGAGTACACAGTTAAAATGACATTCTCATGCTCATACATTGCAAATTGTTACAAATACTCTATAAAGTAATTTGATAAAGTTACTGTCCTGTCTGATAGAATAATTTTACTTCTTTGAATCAGTCATAATAAAACAATCCACGATATAGATTAAGTTACATGTAAAAAAACTATCGCCATGTCATTTGTAGCAAAGTTCCAGAAATGACCCACCAATCCAGTTATAAAGGAATGATTATGCATCCAGCTCAAATCCTTTATTGAATAAACTGGGTCATAATAAAAGTGACTCGTAAATGATATATGGCCACTTAAAAGAACATTTAGGAAAACTTGTAGCAACCTGGAAATGTTTATGGTTTATATAGTAAAGAAATCAGAATACAAAATTAGAAATCCCTAAAGATTTCCCCTCAGGAAAAGGGAAAATGAAAGAATCAATGGGAGGAGATAATGCCAAAGTATTAACATAATTAGTGTTGGAAGAGGTAGCGCTGTTGGTAATATTTTCCTAAACTATTCTATAATGAAGTAGTATTACCTTATAATGAAAACGCATTTACTGAAATCTGCTTTTTAAGAAAAAGAAAATGCTTTTAAATAGAAAAGATATAGAAAAAATAAATAAATAACTTAAGTAATCAGTGAAGTCTAATCAACATATCTGCCCGCTCATGTTTTTTGGAATATTTGAAAACTAAAACATGTTTCCTTTGGTTTCCCTGGTATTTTCTGCTTCAGTGAATTCCTAATCAGTGCTACTGTTTTGAATGGATTTTAAAAGTATGGGAACAACAGATGGTTGAAAACCTAAATTGCCAAGGTGGAAAATGAGGTCATACAGTATCTCAAAAAGTACAGCAAATTTTAATGTACTTTTAAATGGAACCTCATCTGAAAGGCAATAAGCTTTGTTTTGAAGAGTCGAATCTGGAGAGCGCCCTGATTTTTTTTTTTCCCTTTCAGGATTTTTAGTATCCCATGGCTGCTGAGGGATTGAAATTCCCCATATTAATGCAAATTTTACATCTCCTTTCCAAAAGGATTCTGAATCCTTGCTGGGTAGAATTCTTTCTGCCTTATGCACTGTGGGTAAATGGATTTCTAGTGTCTGTTAGCCTTTGCACTGTGTTTAGTCTGTGGTCTGAATGCTTATATTCCATCTCTAGGGTTGTTTTCTTGTGCTATTTATTTGTTTGTTTATTTATTTATTTAAGGAAAAAATGCAGCAAAATATGCCCCTTTTATGACTCTGGGGTTGAAAACTATAATTTTTTAGACTCTTCAGGTTTTGAAATCAGCAAATATTTTTTCAGGAACTTTGGTTCAGTGAATCTAGCTGAGGACCTACTATGTGATGTATATCCTGGGGATACCAGGATAAGTATGAGTCCTTGTCTTCAAAGAAATGACAAGCAGATAAACCAAGTAACCATATACTTATAGCAGAATGCAGAAACAGATAAGCTTCCCAAGTTGCCAGTTATCATCATCATGGATTGGAAGGAGACATTTCATCTAGTCTGAGTGTGACAAAGAGTTTTGTGAAAGAAGCTACATTTGAAATGCTCTTAGAAAAATTAAGTGGAAATGAAAGTCATTTCAAGTAAAAAAAGAAAATATAGGTAACAGCAACTTATCTAGTTCCGTTTTGCTAAAATATATGGTATGAATAAAGGAGACAGGCTAGGAAGACAGGTTGGAGCCATTTAATGAAACTCCTGGAATGCTGGACTGGAGAATTGGTACTTCATTTCAGAAGGGATTAAGTACTAAAAGCTTCAGAACAGAGGAGTGATATGATCGAAACTTCGATTTAGAAATCTTTTGGCCCAGAAGGTAATAGTAGCCTGACAGCCAGCATGCAGACCAGTAAGAAGATAATGAGTTCCCTTGAGACGTAAAAGGGCCCTTGATGGGCTGTAGTTGTGAAAATGAAATAGAACTGAAAAATGACACAGGGATATAATCTACCAGAAGTAGCAGCTCACATGGTGTCAGGATTGAGGGAGAAGAAGGAGCCAAAGCTGTTGCTGAGGTTTTAAGCCTGAATAATTAGGAGGCTGGTGATACTATTACTAGAAATGGGAAAGTTGGAGGAGAAACGTAGTTGGAATTTGAATTTAGGCACTTTGAAATACTAGCAGTGTATTTTGGCTGAAGATGGCTAATAGGCAGAGAATGGCTCTCAGAAGAAAACCAGAGAGCTATTTAGAAATCACAGCATGGACATGACATTGATGATGATGATGCTTACAGAGCGCTCTTTCTTCTGGGTGAATCTGCCCATCCGTTGTGTGGTAGAAGAGTAAGCCTGGGTGTTCACAGGCTCTGTTTAGTCCCAAACTTAGAGAAGGAGCTAAGAATTTGCTTTTAATTTGTCCCAGGACTTTGGCTATAGAACATTTAACCTTCGGGGGTCTTTCTCAAATACAAGTCTTGTAAGGGTAGAGATTTTTGTTGTTGTGTTCACTGCTGTATTTCCAATACCTAAAACAATGTCTGGAATAGTAGGCATTTGATTAGTAATGGTTTGAGTGAATGAATAAATCTGTAAAAGGAGGAACATGGGTGAAGTCAGATGTTTAAGATACAGATTTTCATTTAATCTCCAATGGAAAAGAAATTTGAAGCTTTTCTTCTTACTTGTTTTCTATTTCTACAAAGAGCCATTCTGCCTCACTTGGCAGCCAGAATAGGGCTAGATTGTCTGCTCAAGGAAAAGGTGTAAAAAAACACAGCAGGCTTTTGATGCAAAATATGTTCAGGCAATTGTATTAATTTTCAATCACAATGAGAATTTTCAGGGAAAAATTGCTTTGCTGGTAGAGGTTGTAGGTATATTGAATTGAGTACTGTTTGGTTTCTAAATGAAGTAATAGATTTCAAAGAACTGCATTTAAACTCACCTGTGTCAGATCTGCCTTTTAAAACTATTATAATATCAAATTCTTAACAATTTTTGAATATTAATTTCACCCAGCTAGAAAACTATAATTAAATCATGAGGTTGAATAGAATAAATATTCCTAAAAACTAGATCCATTCAGAAAGATTCCAATGCTTTAGTCTTTTCTGTCATTTTTGCCCTGACTATTTGTCTTTTCCCAGTTTGAAAGACTAAATCTTTTCATGGTTTTGGTTCTCTGAAGAACTCTGCATCCTCAGGAAGGGGACAAAAACGTTCATGCTCCTACTTATTTCTACCTGGCAAAGCTTCCCTTGCATTTCCTGATCCACTTTGATCAGGAAGTAAACTTGCCAGTATCCAGAGATTTAATATTAGAGTATATTATACTGTTGAAGGTTTTATTCAGTGTATGCATTCAACATGCTAAATATAAAATATTGCATTAACTAGGATGTACACAATTCCTGCTCTTTCAGAACTTTAAGCTTGAGACAGTGTTTACTCAGGTAAATGCTATACAGACGCATGCTACCATGCTTTAGTAATTTTGATCATTTCTTTTTCTCCTGGTGACTCCTTTTATCTGGTCAGTTTTCTGTGGGTACATGAAAGGGTAATTGGCTTAGAAGGTTAGGGAGGACAGATTTGTTTTGAGGTTGGAAAGAGTCCATTGGTCATCAAAAACCATTTAACTTTACCAGACATAGTATCTTATCCCTGATAATATTGAATCTCAAAATATTACTTACTAATTTTTATATGTGCAGCACATGTTTAAGGAAAAGAGTTTATTCTTTGTAATTTTCTACTAGATGAACTGTGCACTTGCAAATTCTCCATTTTGACTAGGCAGGAAAATATGACTCTAAAACCAGTAAAGCTGATCCCTCA